AAAAAATCACAAATAATGAAAACTCAAAAGCATAAGAATGATAAATATTGCTTATACCACTGTAGAAAACATATGAATGAGAATGAATATTTTCACAAACCAAGAGACGTCTTTGACCAGTTTCGATTATATTTTTGTCAGAAACACAAGAAAAGTGATAGCATACCATACAGGCCAGTATCGATGGTTAGCGCTGTCTTCTTCTATCACAACTTGCGAGAGTTTGGAGAGCTCGGGAAGCATAAGCGGAGCCATGGCTTCAAAAGTCTGACTTCTGTACTGATCAGTATCCTTGAACCTGGATGCGGAGATCAAATATGTATAAACTTCACACTTTTTGTAATGCTTATCTATGCTTATCTATGCTTAACACTGTACAGTTAACTAAATACATGTGCTGTCCACTATAATTTTGTTTTATCAATTTTGTTTACACACAGATGGCTTCACAAGCAGTTAATTATGTATACCTATGTTTACCCCATTCCTGAATTTTCAAAGAAATGTTTTGATTTCTCATACTAGTTCTATCAATATTAACATCATTATCACTATTACCAACATTATTATTTTCATTATATCATTAACAATACTAATAGCAATAAAAATAAACTTTTTTTTATCAAGGGAAATGGTAAACAGGTGAAATCAGGAAGGCCTAATAGTTGACTTTTGTCTGTGTGTAAACAAAACTACCAAATCAAAACCTCAGTGAACATGCCTGCTGGTTCAGTATCAGGGGGTTAATTCTTTATAGTCTGTTCCACAAACTGGATTTGTAATGTGAACAATTTGCTCAAAGGATTTGCCAGAGACAGTGCATGAGGAAAGTAACACTACTTAAAAAAAAACTTATACTGGTTATGGACAACTGAGAGATCTCATACAGAAACTCACCTGACTGATACGTGGACTTGGCAGAGCCTCCCTGTATCAACGTCAACAGGTATCAATAATCTTGGTTCAGCCGCCAGAACATAAAGATGCCTGAGTGCCTGAAACATCCATGAATAAAATGAGCAAACTGTATGGGGAAAAATAGTAAGTGAGAAAAGTAAGAAAGAAAGAACTAAAGCTGGTGTCTTCATCAAATTCAAGTAGTAAGCAAAATGACCACAGGCTCTCATAAAAAATAGTAATAATTTCAAATAATGACATAAATAAATCCTACTTTAAACAATATAAAACAACAGCAACAA